TCACCATGCACGGTACCCTTAAAGATGACACTTATCAAGTTTTCTAAGAACTTTGCAACCTAATTTCGTAGACCTTACTACTCAAACCATACTTACTGCATATATTTCGTAGACCTTACCACTCAAACCATAAAATCTGTTATGCCCAAATGTTGAAATATCGCAGGTATTAAGTTCCTTTATTAATCTATTTCAGTTTACTGCATATATTTCATTTTTTTGTTTCGGTTCAAATACAACACACATACGTTATACTAAAGTTACAGGGAGACCAGGGGGAAAACTCAGACTACGAAATATGTTCTTCTGAAATTTAAGAATAACTTGTCTCACAAAATTCTAAATTTTTTCAAATTAACCAAGAAATTTTTATGTTTTTAGCCACCCATAATTTAAAAAAAAGGCTGAAGTTTTGATGTTTTTTTCCGCCCACCCTGTAACAGAAAAGTAAGGAACTCTAATTAGTATTCAAACAGTGTCGATGCATGGACTCGCTCCAGGAAATGGAATTATTGAATACAAAGATGGAATATTGAGATTTTATACACTTAACAACACAAATATATGTATTTAATGTTTAGGATACAAACCAAACAAACAATTTAAATGCAATTCAATTTCAATTTAAAACCATGAATTTTTGGAGGAAGCAATTCTTTTGAATTAGAATTCATTATTTTTCTCTCTGAGAATTCTCATTTTGCCAGCGCTTATTCCGATTCTACAATTTCAAGGAATTATGATGGGTTATATTCTCATACATTAAAGTATTATTGAAATTCTATAAAATTACTCATATGTAGAGAATTGGGAAGATTTGGTGTGACTAATATTATAGCAAATGTCCTAGTTGCGCCTCTGAACCTTATTGGGTCGATATTGTAAAACACATTAATTCTTGTTTCCCATTCTGATCTGATGAATAAAGCTGAGGAAGATAATGAAGATAATGATGCTATTGATGAAATTGATGACGCCCCTGCAGCTAAAAATTTGACATACTATCATTAAACATCAGTTTTCAGCAAAACTAAAAATTCATAATATTCCACTCAGAAACTAGTGCTTTTTATAGCTTTTAAGAAACATGGCTGAAAAATCAGAGATGAAGACGATTGTTCAAAACCAATGGAGTTCATTTTAAGAAAACATTATTCACATAAATGTACTTATTTCATTGTGAAATACATTAAATACTAATTAATGTATGCCATTACTTTATTTGTTTTGCAAACAAAATCGTACTTATTTTTCAAGTCACAAAAATATTGAAAGTAAATTTTGTTGAAAAAAGTTCATAGATCTTTTTAAATATTTTTATGTAAAGAGCCCAACCCTATCTGAAAACTTTATGTATGTGAGTAAAGGTTTATAGAGTAGTTCAGAAGTAAGGGTTGAGTGATTAATTACGGTTAAGGGCACATACGAGAAAGACGTCAAAAGTTCACTGCTAAATATGCAAGTTCTTAATGAGAATGACCCCATAACAGTTTACTATATAAATCTTCAGGATTTCCGGGCAAAAGAAGTTCATTTGTAGGATCCAATAATGAATCCTGAAAACCCAGGATATCCCTGAGAACTGAATGCATAGAGCAGTCTGTAGGTCTAAATATCTTTGTTTTAATAATGAACAAAACATCTGAAGATTTAATATATCACACAGAGCAACCTGCACATGGCTTGATTATGTCTTTAGAAGTCTTAGAATAGTGGCAATCAATTTCCAGATCTATATCTCTAGGGTCAACATAATGAACCTTGCAGAACTCCTGGGTATTGAGGATATCCCTGAGACCGAACTCGAGTATTTAGTTCAAGATCTAATTATCTCAGCTCTGGTCCAATAATATAACCAGAAAAACGTTTGTATATATAGGATATCCCTGAGACTGAACTAGCAGTATTTAGTTCCAAGATCTAAATATCTCTAGTCCAATAATGAACCCTGCGAAACTCCTGTGCATTCAGGATATCTTTGAGACTGAACTTGCTGTATTTAGTCCTAAGGTGTATATATCTCTGGTCCAATAATGAACCCTGGGGAACTCCTGTGCATTCAGGATATCTTTGAGATTGAACTTGCTGTATTTAGTTCCAAGATGCATATATCTCGGGTCCAATAATAAACCCTGAAGAATCCTGTGCATTCAGGATATCCCTAAGACTAAAACTTGCTGTTTTTAGTCCCAAGATGTAAATATTTCGGGTCCAATAATGTACCATGAAAAACTCCCTTATATTCAGGATATAACTAAGACTGAACTTGCTGTATTTAGTCCCAAGATGTACATATCTCGGGTCCAATAATGTACCCTGAAGAACTCCCTTATATTCAGGATATCCCTGAGACTGAACTAGCTGTATTTAGTCCCAAAATGTACATATCTCGGGTACAATTATGGACCCTGAAGAACTCCCTTATATTCAGGATATCCCTGAGACTGAACTAGCTGTATTTGGTCCCAAGATGTACATATCTCGGGTCCAATAATGTACCCTGAATAACTCCCTTATATTCATGATATACCATAATACTGAACTTGCTGTATTTAGTCCCAAGATGTATATATATCGGGTCCAATTATGGACTGAAGAACTCCCTTATATTCAGGATATACCTAAGAATGAACTTGCTGTATTTAGTCCCAAGATGTATATATCTCGGGTCCAATAATAGACCCTGAAGAACTCCCTTATATTCAGGATATATCTAAGACTGAACTTGCTGTATTTAGTTCCAAGATGTATATATCTCGGGTCCAATAATGAACCCTGAATAACTCCCTTATATTCAGGATATCCCTGAGACTGAACTAGCAGTATTTAGTCCCAAGATGTTATATTTCAGGTCCAATAATGAACCTTGAAGAACTCCCTTATATTCAGGATATCCCTGAAACTGAACTAGCGGTATTTAGTCCCAAGATGTTATATTTCAGGTCCAATAATGAACACTGCAGAACTCCCTTATATTCAGGATATCCCTGAGACTGAACTAGCGCTATTTAGTTCCAAGAATGTATACATCTCGGGTCCAATAATGAACCCTGAAGAACTCCCTTATATTCAGGATATCCCTGAGACTGAACTAGCGGTATTTAGTCTAGATTAATCAACCAGGAATTATGAAGGAAGGATGTGTGGGGAGTAATTTAAAGCTCATGTTAATATCACGGTAGGTCAAAATATATACCGCAGGGTTCTTCTTCCCCGTCCCACCCCCCTCCCTCCCCCTCATTCTTCCTTTATTCCTTTTCTTGTCTAAAACATAGCCAAACAAATACACCAATGCATGCTTCTTTTTAATTACCTTTTTAATGACCTTTTTATAGTTTTAACTCTTCCTCAAAAGCTTTTCAAAATCTTCATTATAGGCCCCTAATAATCTTTACTACAGGTTTAAAAATTCTCATTAAAAGGACTGTGAGCGTAATTTCAAGTGACCCTTCATGCAAAGATGTCAATGTCAATTCACAATGGCACCCTTAAAAGCGTTGTCTGATCAAGTATGAATTAGATATTAATGTTTATTATTTTCAAAGCTAGTTTATTTTCAAGGATTTAAGGGTACCGTTGTCATCGAATCGGGGCATTGCGGAGGGTCACTTGAAATTACACTTACGGTCCCTTCATACCCCCAGAAGATATGAAAATATAAAAGTATTCTTAAAAACTAAGGTTTCTTTTAAATTTAGATATAATTGCTATTTTTTTAATGATAAAACTAGAATTTAATTACTTATGTATAAACAATCAAACATATAATTCAGGGGGTTTCTGCCCCCCCCCCCCTCCCCTCCAATTATTGTTGAACAAATTTTGAAAATGTGTTGATAGGGATGATACACCCTGTAATTGTATACCTAAAGGATCCCTCCTGCAAATCTATGTAATGAAATTCCTATTCTCTCATCCATTAAATACTTGAATCTCAGATATGATCATATAATCTAATTTATAAATGGCATTAAATCAGATTTAAGAATAGAGTGCTCCATAGTTTTATTACTTTGGAGCACAGTGGATCCCAAAATATTATGGAACAAAATTATGACAAAAATATTGTTCGAATATGCAGGGAGAACTGACCCTCTTGATCCATGTATCAAAACTGTAGCAAATAAACCTTGGAGTAATTTTAGATCCTGCTTTATTCTATTTTATATTGGCGACCACTGTATAGTTGGTAGATATGATGAGGATGAATTAATAAATGAATGGAGAGAAGTTATGAGATTTATAACTCTACGTGTTGATAATTTATACAATTAGATTAACGTATTAGATACACTCCATATTACTCATGTAGTGTAGATATAAACCTACAGATCATTTTATCCAAATAAACAGATGAAAGAGGATAAGTTTATGAGGGAGGGGGTAGGATATGTAAAGAAAAAGTAGGTGTGACGGGAAAACTAAGGAAATGAACTTAACGGAAGAAAGGAAAAAGGAAGTGTAGAAAAAGGAAAAGTTAAAAGGAAAAAGAATGGATTAGAAGTTTGAAAAATGGAAGAGTTAGAATGGAAAAGGTCTGGATTATAAGTTAAAAAAATGGAAGAATTAGAAAGAAAAAGGTAAGATAAAAAGTGCAAGAAAGGAAAGACTTAGAAAGGAAAAAGAATGGTTTAGAAGTTTGAAAATTGGAAGAGTTAGCGAGGAAAAAGAAAGCATAAGAAGTATGAAAAAGGGTAGAGTTCGAATGAAAAAAGAATGAGAAGAAGTTTAAAAATTGGAAGAGTTAGAAGGGAAAAAGGAAAATAAGAAGTGTAAGAAAGAAAAACGAATGGATGAGAAGTTTAAAAATTGGAAGAATAAGTGTGCGAAACGAAACAGTTAAGGACGTAAACAGTGTTGGAGTATAAACGAAGTAACGAAGTAAGTAAAACTAAAAAATGAGAAGAGGATAAAAAATGGATTTTGAAAGGGAAAAGAACAGAAAAATACAAGAAATGAAAAAAAGCAGAAAGAGATTAATATTTAAATCAGAAACTTACCAACTACTAGAAGAAGAAACTGCATTTTTCTAAACTAAATATCCCCGGGTTGGGACAAGTATTTTCAGTTCCCTATATCATTCACTGTTTCACTTTGATCTGTTATTTATCGACTCGTCCTCGCCCTTCTCGTTTCACATTTTAGATTTTTTTTGTTTTTCGCATTTTCAAAAGGGCCGGACTGTAGACGTTATATCTAGTAACCTTTGTCTGTATGCAAATTATTGTGTTATCCCTGTGTTTCTATCTCAAAGTTGATAGTTTTCTATTGCTGTTCTCTGTATAAATGTGACTTGCATAGATAAGAAAGGAAAAGAGGAAAATTTTTACCTTTTCAAAACTTTTGAAAAAGAAAAACGACAATATCACCCTCATTGTTAACCCGATACATGGGGTACCGTTGTGAATCTGACTTGTCTGGCCATGAATGGTCAAAAAATTACGTCACCAGAATAAAACACAATATAATATTTACTAATTTATCGATGTAAAATATCATCTTTTTCTGCAAACAACAGACTAGCGTTCCATTTTCTTTGCTATTAATTTGTCTTTTAAACCCTGTAGTTTTTAAAACTGTACGTTTAATGTAAAACATCTTTTGTAAGTATGTAAACTGTTAATAGTTCTAGTGTTGATATATCTTGTAAAGTATTCTATTTGAACGAATTTAAATTTCCTTTTTAAAAATAAGTTTTAATCTTATGTCTTCAAGATTAAGTATTTGAAATCCAAGGATTTTTTTATCATTTGAAGTTAACGATACATACACCATTAACTGAGGTTTTTATGCGTTCTGCAGTATATAGATATTGTAGGGTTTAGTGGAGAGTGGATGTTATTTTTGATAAATTTGGATCTAGATAAATTCATCTTTTTTAAAAGATTATTTTTGAGAAATTAATTGAAAAATACTTTTCGTCGAAAACAAAGGCTCAATTTTTAGTTTTTGCAAATTATCAAAATTCAAATTACTGATTTGAAAATTAAATCTATGTGTTTGAGGTTTTTAGATTGGTGATTTTAGAATAAATATTGAAAGAAATATTGATTTTTCATAAAGATAAGAACGTTTTTAGGATTAGAGAATTAAGGTGTTTGAGCAAATAACTAAAATATATTCTAGGATTAACATCTCAGAAATTTGGGATTATTATTTTCGGAAAAGTTGAAAATTATTTCAGGATTTTATTTTAAGGATTATTAGAATCTAAAATGTATTCCTAAGTAATGTGTCTTCTCTTGAACTCTGTGAAGACCCGACTGAGATTTGTCTGCACAGAATCTGCGCGTTCTGTGCACACTGGGGGGAGGGGGGGGTGCGCGGTAACATCTTCCCCATCTTCATCCCGGCACAGTGTTGCCTGTGGGCCCTGGAATACCCACATGTGTTAAACCCCTTCCCTTGCCTCGGGACTTTTTGGGCCCTGGATTTATATTAGATCGTGAATTAATAAAAGTACACTATGCTGTGCATTTCTGATTAAGAGACTGATAAAAAAATAGATTTTTTACGCATTAATTCAAATTGGAGAAAATAAACAAAATTACAACACACAGATGTCTTTAATGATTTTATTATTTTTATCTGAGAATTTGACAAAAATACAAAAGGTTGTCCAGGGCCCAGGTGTGTGCTATTCTATTGGAGCTTGACAGTAAATACAGGACTATGAATATTAAACCCTTCACCTTTACTTTTCAACTGGAAACACTATTCTGCAGTCTTTAAGCAGAAATAGAAGTTGAGGGTAGCTGGAGGGGTGGAGGGGTAGAGTGGTAGAGTGGTAGAGTGGTAGAGTGGTAGAGTGGTAGAGTGGTAGAGTGGTAGAGTGGTAGAGTGGTAGAGTGGTAGAGGGGTAGAGGGGTAAAGGGATAGAAGGATAGAGGGATAGAGGGATAGAGTATTATTAAATACGTAAATCATAGGGTAGAGGGGTAGAAGGGTTGAGGGGTAGAGAGGAACATTGTATAATCTGGATATAAGAACCTAATTATAAATTTACATGTTCCTGAAGAAAGGCAAGGGGAACAAGGTTTTGAACTTTAATCTTTGGTAATTTTACTATCGGGCAAATTTGAAAGGTATTTTGAACCATCCACCCCTGAGTAGCAGAAATTTAGTAAGAATTAAAAGAGAATGTATTTAATCAAATCTTTTTTTTTTTAATTAGAACGAAGATAAAAGTAAGAAATTTCCTAATTGAGCTTTTTTCTTGAGAATTCAGAACAGCAAAATTACAAGAGATAATTCCAAATTATGATAAAAGAGGAGAATAAAGATTGAAAAGATAAAAAGTATTTGAAAACAGAAAGAAATATAAGTTGTATAGTTTTGTTTATTGCGCTCCATGCAATGCCACTGCAGTTGCACCGTTAATAACTCTGCAAAAGGTTTTCTTTCGGAGACTTTAACTTGGTATACCACGGTATCGTAGAACAATACTATTGCTGCATAATTACACATATTGAATACAAATACAGAGTATCAAAATACCAGAAGCTACCAACTGCATGAAGAATGCAAACGTTATTCCGATTCACAAGGTGAGCAAGTTTTTAATTCTGCAGAAGTGCAGTGTAAGAGGAATTTTAAACCTGAAGCTATTGCTATAAACTCGTCATTACTCCTTTCTGCCAAATTTTATCTTAATTGAACATAAACAAGGAAATTGGGCGAATGGATGTTTCTTTAGATTGGAGATAAGGCGAATATATAATTTAAAGGGTATAGGAGTCATCCCTCCAACACCCTTCTGCATATATAGTATCAGACTTAAACTTAAACATATCGTAGTGAGATGCATTAAGCGGATATAATTTACATTGACACATTCACCTATAGGGCACATACAGGGGTAGATACTTACTGTAACATGCACATATACAAACCTATAGGGCACATACAGGGGTAGATACTTACTGTAGCATGCACATACAAACCTATAGGACACATACAGGGGAGATACTTACTGTAACATGCACATATAGACATATAGGGCACATACAGGGGTGGATACGTACTGTAACATGCACATACAAACCTATAGGACACATACAGGGGTAGATACTTACTGTAACATGCACATATACAAACCTATAGGGCACATACAGGGGTAGATACTTACTGTAGCATGCACATACAAACCTATAGGACACATACAGGGGAGATACTTACTGTAACATGCACATATAGACATATAGGGCACATACAGGGGTGGATACTTACTGTAACATGCACATACAAACCTATAGGACACATACAGGGGTAGATACTTACTGTAACATGCACATATACAAACCTATAGGGCACATACAGGGGTAGATACTTACTGTAACATGCACATATACAAACCTATAGGGCACATACAGGGGTAGATACTTACTGTAACATGCACATATACAAACCTATAGGGCACATACAGGGGTAGATACTTACTGTAACATGCACATATACAAACCTATAGGGCACATACAGGGGTAGATACTTACTGTAACATGCACATATACAAACCTATAGGGCACATACAGGGGTAGATACTTACTGTAACATGCACATATACAAACCTATAGGGCACATACAGGGGTAGATACTTACTGTAGCATGCACATACAAACCTATAGGACACATACAGGGGAGATACTTACTGTAACATGCACATATAGACATATAGGGCACATACAGGGGTGGATACGTACTGTAACATGCACATACAAACCTATAGGACACATACAGGGGTAGATACTTACTGTAACATGCACATATACAAACCTATAGGGCACATACAGGGGTAGATACTTACTGTAACATGCACATATACAAACCTATAGGGCACATACAGGGGTAGATACTTACTGTAACATGCACATATACAAACCTATAGGGCACATACAGGGGTAGATACTTACTGTAACATGCACATATACAAACCTATAGGGCACATACAGGGGTAGATACTTACTGTAACATGCACATATACAAACCTATAGGGCACATACAGGGGTAGATACTTACTGTAACATGCACATATACAAACCTATAGGGCACTTACAGGGGTAGATACTTACTGTAACATGCACATATAGACCTATTGGGCACATACAGGGGTAGATACTTTCTGTAACATGCACATATAGACTAGACCTATAGGGCACATACAGGGGAGATACTTACTGTACCCAGCACATATAGACCCATTGGGCACATACAGGGGTAGATACTTTCTGTAACATGTACATACAGACCTATAGGGCATATGCAGGGGTAGATACTTACTGTAACATGCACATACAAACCTATAGGGCACATACAGGGGTAGATACTTTCTGTACCCAGCACATATAGACCTAAATGGTACATACAGGGGTAGATACTTACAGTAACAAGCACATAAAGACCTACAGGGCACATACAGGGGTAGATACTTACTGTAACATGCACATATAGACCTTTAGTGCACATAAAGGATTACATACTTTGCACATAAAGACCTAAAGGGCACATAAAGGATTACATACTTACTGTAACTTGCACATATAGACCTTTACAGCGGTAATTGTTTAAGATTTTTGACCAGAAGTTAATTATAAAATATATATGTTAAAATATGTTTGAATGCGAGACTGACAGATAATTAAAGGTGTGTACTGTGTAATAGTGTATAGTACATACCTACTGTATGGTGTAAAGGTGTAAAATAGATAAATTTATCCATGTATTGTATAATAAATGTCAGCGAAGACAACTATTTTAAATTTTAACCATATATATTCATTAACAAAGCTTGAGTATTAACGTTAAGTTTTTATTTTTAAACGTTTCCTTGTCTAGGCATTTGAAAAAAACTGGGCATATTATTTAATCTTGAAAAATAATTAACACTTTTATTCAAAATCATTTCTTAAATTAAATCTTTAAAATTTATATTTTTATGAATATTCATTTTTTTGACACGGCCTGCACTATAATATCTGAAGAAGAGCCCTGTATGTATTGTCTATTTCCCACCCGGACCCACAATCAGCAGTATATTTCTGATCTGTCGTGTCCATTCCCGCTGTATAAAGAATAGGATATCCCCATGATACAGTGAGAATCAGAAAAAGTGGAATTCTTCTTTTATG